TCGTCAGTGGACTTAGCGTTGCTCTTAGTTTGTGGGATGGTGCTGACGCTTGCTTGCGCCAACCCGCTAACTGACGGGACTGTTGCTTCCATCACACTTTATCGGAAGATCGGAGTGAAGTGGAGGCAACAGCGGTGAACTGAACGCCCACAGCGCACTACCGCTGCTTATATTCACACTTGAAGGAGAGGAGACTAAAGGAGGAGAGTTGCGCATGCGCGCGCGGTGTGAGTAGAAGCAACACCTCCTAGAAGACAAGGCCATAGTGCTCTTCTCGTGACGTCGCAAAAGAAGGCCATCGGGGGCGCGCGTTGAAGCGAATGCAACGCGCGTAGATCGACCGTCGTAACGCGTTTTTAGTCACATACGCGTGTCATATTATCTAAAATGAAAGCTGCAGATAGCAACGGGTCTAGAAAACATTTTATTGCACGAGCAAAATATTACACCGCTAAATAATCGGTATGAAATGGCACGAGGTATGCGTACAAGACGTCTATCGAAAAATGTGATTGTTTTAAGTCGAAAACATTGAGTCATGCAATTATCGTTGTAGGAATGCATATTTTATACGGAAATACTTTGACGAAATGGCGAGACACGCAGTGATTTTAAAACAGCAAAACAGAACAGTTAAAAATCAGGTAGACATAGTCAACGCGGACAAGGCAAGACTTGCGTTTCTCACAATCATGTAAGCGACGTTATCGCGTGCAGTCACTGAATTCTTGCATCATACCCCGGCCACATGGCAAAATTAATGTAATTTCGACCGAATGACATTATATGGTCGACAAATCCGCTTGCGGCGCTCGTATAATCACTCAAGACCGCGAGCTGATTAAATCCTATATCACTGAATGAAAATATATTAACGTTTCCCTGTGGCAGGGGTACTAAACTTACTACTTAGTCTACTAATTTACTTCTCCCTATGGGCTCGAGCTGCCTTAGAACAAAACATAACTTATTTTGTATATAATAATACTAACACCTTAATACAGTTAAGATTCTAGTATAAACGCGGAAAAGGCAATAAAATAACTTTAGTATAAATAAACACAGAACCACAAACAACTCACTTTCAATAATCACACAGACTTGATTTTCATCTTCCAGTGAAAACTAGATTAGCGCGCATATTTACAAATGTCGACGCAACTGCATACGAATAATGACAAGGAACAAAATTGCAATTTATCACGCGATTAAAAAAAAAACGATTGCAGCATCTTACTTGCGTCCTACATGAACAAGAAAGCCCGTAAATAAGTTGTTTCTCACCTGTCGATCGTATCCATACGTCCCACAATATCCGTGACGAACACATTTGAACACGAGCTCCAAGAAGCCTCTCTTTGTCGAGAGAGAGGTCTATCGATTAGTCGACCAGAGCCTTCGTTGGCTAGTTGTCACACGTCACTCAAACCGTAGCAGGACTTGTTTCACGAATGCACGTAAATGCCGTAGTATCAAGCGAACACAAAAAAAGACTACCCGAGACTACGGTGATGACAGAGATACGACGGGAAACAAGTCTCAAAAGTACCACACACGAGAGCAGCGGCGACGAAAGGCTTAACGTTGTCGACCCATCTCTTGCTGGTGTGCGCTCCCTACGACAACGACTAGATTTCTTTTCGGTTTGCTTCCCTTCTGAGATGTCTCAGCGTTCCTTTTCAGACAGCCAGCAGCTCACACACAACGTAAATTTACCAGAATCGGAGCCATGTGGCATCAGCAGCATCGCTGCCGGTCCTTTCGAAAAGTGTGGGGTGCTGCGGAACTGCACGTAGTCCCGCGGTTACGGGAATACTCATAAATATAATTTTGATACTCTCAACCTTGGTAGCGCGTTATATAATACGTTTATATTATATATATAATAAATTGTACAAGACTGCGCCTTTAAAACGTATATTAATGTCGGATAAACGCGCATGAACGAACACCACCGCGCCGCTGGTCAAGGGACATTGTTTTCACGTCGATAGCGTATTCTCACGTAGTTGCGCCATGGACTTCCTTCCTCCGCCATTGTGACGTAACCTCTGAGAGCGCTCTGGCCTTCTTCTCTAGGAGGTGTTGGTAGAAGCGAACGCACGCGAAGAGCACGCAGCTGGTAGAGAGAGAGAGCGGAGAGAGTAACGCGCAGCTGTTGGAGAGAGGGAAGGAGGACAGTTGCGCATGCGTAGTGTGAGTGCGGACTACGACGCCGCGGGACATAGACCCGAGCAAGAGGTGCTCCGCCTCTAAAAATAGCCGTCGGTCTAGTACACTGTACCGTAGGTGATATTTTGTGCTTGATTTTAAAGACGCTCGACGAAGCAGATTCTTGAAACTCAGTGGATGCGACGGAGGAAGGTTGACTATGCCGTCATGTTGTGCGACGGGCTGTTCAAACCTCCCCGATCGCGATAAGACAAGAAAATACCGTCGGTAACTTTTCAGTCCTTTGTGGCTATCCTGTCGCGTAGGAATACGTTTGGTGAAGCATATTTATTTGTTCCCAAGGTTTCCACGAAGTCGCCTGGCGACCCTTCAGCTGCGGGTGGAAACCGTGTACCCTATCGAAACGTACGGTAGATTGCGCCACCATGCTACTATAGTGTGGCTAGAACTAATGTAACTCTACCAAAGAGATGTCCGACCGTGGCCGCATTCGTGGAGTGGGCAAGCGCGATCCAGCAAATAGTCATAGAGATATCAGTGGTGTGAATCATAGAGTTATTATAATGTACGCTAGAGGTCCAACTGGCGCTAGTGTGCTGCCGCAAGCTGAAGCAGACAGCTACCAGTCGGAAATTGACTTCCGGTAATGCATTTCTATGGGAAAAAGTCAGTGCATTTTCTCTCTGCGCTCAATTATAAGAGCAAATATCACGATTAATTCGTACGTACTAGGCACACTGAAACATTTGTTAGTCACGCAGACGAAATAATTGGTCAGTTGCGGCGTTTTTATTCTAAATTTCTGGCATGAAAAACGGTACTAAAACCGCTTCGTACATGTATTTATGGGCTCTGTCGGACACTGTTAGCGTGAACACGGCGTCGGCGCTTTCCAGCATGGGGGACATGCGTGTCAAACGAACGAAGGACATGTAGAAAACTAAGAGAAACGGCAAGAACTACGCAGTAACACTGGATAAGTAACTCCCTGTGCATGTAGGCAATCAAAATAAATTGTAAGCCACGTAATATATTCCGATTTGCAATAAATAAGTACTGCTTTATTCTTTCTGCTCATGAATATGTGCGAAGATGCTTGTTCTGGGTTCAAATCAACACCCGCACGCTCCAAAGTTTTGCAAATGGGAGAAGTTAGAGAAACAGATGCCCGATAAAAACTGCCCAACATAGGAAATAATAAAAAGACACCTTTCGCAGCCCACGTGTAGTTTACATTTGAATGTTTTCTAACCGACCGTAAATATGCACGACGGAGTCATTTTCATAGATTGACAGGACGGGCATATTATCAATATATAAGCGCCACCGGAATGCTAGTGAACCTTGAACACAATCTTCCTTTCGATTGTTAGTTTGCTTAGAATCGTCGCTCGTTTTTACAGACCTGTTATGGAACAGAGGTTTGGGTCTGGAATATAGCGAAGTTTAACATCGCTCAGTGGTAAAGAAAAATTTTGTAATTAAAGCAGTTACACTTTTACAATATTAACAAAGATACATACCATCCGGTACAACCGAAATAACAAAAGTTATTTATGTTATTTTCCGGCGAAGAGCAACCCTCGCGCGCTCTTTCCCATGGGAATGCACAGGAGCACCGCAAAAGTTGACTGGTTGCTGTCTGCTTCAATTTGCCTCCCGGAAGTCGCATAGACACTAGCGCCAGTTGAACCTCTAGCGTACATTATTATAACTCTATGGTGTGAATTAACGTTATTGTGGATAGAACTTGTTGAGCATTACTACACGCATGAATCAAACGGCTTAGCTTCAACCCGTCGTTAAAGTCGGGTAAGAATAAAGTTGCTGTTCAGGCTCGAGCGCGAGCTTTGTTTTTGATAGCAGTTGGTAGCACGCGCAGCCGAAACCCGGCGGGCGTCAACTAGCGCGTGATGGACAGGAAGTTTCAGATTATTATGACGAGGAGGTTGCCGTCTGGTTATATATCGCAGGGGTGGCCAAGCTGCGGCTCGCGAGCCGCATGCGGCTCTTCGCGTGTTAAAGTGCGGCCCGCGGCGCCTTCCCCTGCCTTCCCCACTTCCTCCCCCGCCTTCCTCCCAGCCACATGACATCTCCAAAAAGAGAAATGGAACGCGTTTTAAATCGAAAGATAGGTTGCCGTTTGGTTGCCTTGTGCTACTGCTACCTTACGCACAGTTGGACTGCTTTTGACTCGCATAGATTGAAAGTAGCCTGAGTTTCGTTTACTGCTATGGACAAAAGTTTGCCGGCCCCGCGGCTTTTGGAAGTTTCGTGGTTTTGTTTGCGGCTCTTAGGCCGGGTCAGCCTGGCCACCCCTGATATATCGGATGCCCTTCACAAAGGAGGTTGCCGTCTGGTTTCAAAGTCATTCCATCATGAGTTCAACAAGACCTTCAGTTGCCACATACCTTCTTTCATTACCTCATCATCAAGGACATCTGCTTGTCCTTCCCGAAGATTCGTGAAGTTTTCTTCATACGCATTGCACGTTTGCGGAAAGTGACGATTTTTAAAACGCAGCAGCTATCGCTGTCAGTTCGCAGTCTGAGGCAGAAAGTTGCGGATTTGGTCCGACATCCAAAGAAAACAACGCACCTGCGGGACAAATAAGCCTCTAAAGCCACACCCGAGATTTCGGAGAACATATATTCCCCGAAAACACTATACACTTATTATAAACTACACGAAGCTGACATTATTTGGTAAATATGTTGGATGCAAAGTTTATTTATTGATTTTTAGAAGTTTGTCCACCCATCTAATTTTTTTTAGTAATATGTTAAAATGGTTTTACCATATAAAGGCAAACATGTGATGTCCCGTAATCAGTTCAGCAGCTTGATTTGGAATTTGTTCATTATTCGTTCAGTCAGCTCCGACGTAATATTCTCATTGTCCTGGTAGCAGACCAACATTTTCATCCAATACAGCTTCCACAACGAAACCTTTACCATACGCGTAATGAACAGCTTCCGCTCTGTCCACTTTCCTGTGTCGGTCACCCCAGCCATTGCCTCCGCAATGTTCTTGTGTCCCAAATTCGAAACCTTGGCCAACTGGCCTGTCACGTACTGCCCAAAAAGAGGAAACTGCGGACTGTTTTCTGCCGCGTTCACTAGGATTTCTAAAAATTTTGTTTTTAACACGAAAGCGTCTCCTTCGCAGTACGCCGGGAACACATGGGGAAGGAAGAACTGCTTCTGGGCTGGGTCACTTTGCTCCCTCACCGAATGCTGAACGCTGCAGTGAAAGCCGTTGTCCTCTTCGCTAAGATTGGCGATGTACATGTGGAGACCCAACAGATCGGGGAACGTCGTGTCGTTAATGTGGACAACGTACTGTGCGCTGCAGTGTTGGTGAAGCCACGCTGCCATTTCCAGAAAGATTCGTATGGCATTCGGGGAGCTATCTGGTATGGGGGCCACGGCAATATCATCTTTCTTTATCTCTTTCCTCAGAACTCGGGATGACTTGGGATCCTGCGTAGAGCCCATGTAGAAGAGGATGCGCCAAGGGAGCGCAGTTCTTGTGGCCTCGTTTCCTATAGACTTCCGGATGGCTCGGCGCGTGCTGTAGTGGGAAGGTGCGGTCCTGATGGCCACAATCACTTGAACGGAGCTTCCGCACAGCTGGCTTGGGTGGTGCTTCTCCAACGGTCGGTCCAACAGCCCGTGCAAGATGATTCCCATAGAGCAGAGAGACAGGAAGGTGACCACTATGAGGCCAACAGGCGACTGGCTGCGCTTCGATATCATCACCAGGATACTGCGAGAAGAAAGACAGTTTACGGTGATTAACTAAGAAACAAGTGTTCAAGTGCATCATTTATGAGCCGTTCTGAGGAATTTTGGGCCCGTGATATATTGCCAGGATGCACGTTTCACGTGACAGTAAGACGTCATGTCGCGTGACTTCAAGTCACATGACACGGTGCACGTGACAAGGTGGCGTGAAATCGCGTTGTTCGTTCCCGGCAAGTGACACCAGTAGATCACGTGACACTGTGAGATAAAGTGGCACTATTGCGTGCTATCGTGACGCCACCTGACACCAAGTTAAATGGCACCATAAGGGCACGTCATGTCAAACTGTGGCTGCACTACATATTCTCAAAACCTTCCAAATGTGCCCTTCAGTGTCCTCCGCATTGTGCCTGTTAAGAGAGGAGCACAAAAAGGCGGCCTCATAGACGCACACGCTTAAATACCCGTGTAAAACTTTAAAGAGGCAGACATTCTTTGTCTAGTAATTATGCGAAGTACACGAGCCCAATATCACGATATGGTCTTCCACATGGAGCCAACATGGGATCGGCTATGTGCATTCGCAAAAAGCGGAAGTTTGCAAGCAGGCCCTAACGAACGCATGCTGGAGTAGCGTTAATAAACCATCGCAGAGAGACCCAAGTTATCATCTCCAACTTGTGACATTATATTGATATGTAGGGCACGGTAAATTGCCGATCTGCAACCATGGTGTATTGAAATGACGTGTGCAAAAAGCCAAAAAGAGACATGATTCGTGTGTGTTGAAGCCCTCCGTAGCTTGCATTCCAATGAAAGGTATTGATCATCCCTGACTTTAAAGTTAGACACTTCGGCGCGATTTAACGGGATACTCACACCTCAAACGTCTTTTTTAAACAAAATTTGCCGTGCGATTTAATGTGTTATCAGGAGATTTAGCAATCTATAGTTTCCTACAGAGTCACGTATAGTATTTTTAATAAAGCAAAATACGCTACTGACCGAAACGGAATCCGACACTTGAGCACGGGAACTCATGGCTGCGACATTTGGAAGATGTTTACCAAGGAGGATGGAGAAATGCAGAGGTGGAGGGAGTTGAAGGAAGTCCCGTAGCTACACCCGACCGCGTTTATCCCCCCCCCCCCCCCCCCCCTCACTCACACACACTTTTCCGGGGTGTGAACCAGACGACTGCGACGACGAGGTTGCATGCGCCATTCGTCGTCCGTTTGTTTCGCACTCCTAATATACCCACAGCTTGACGTCTTGCACTTGAAGATCGTTTTGCCGGTACAGCGCGGCGCGCTGCTTGTAGAAATGCGAAAGCATTCCCACAAGCAGCGCGCCCCGCTGTTTTAAGACGTAAGCAGTTTTAAATGTACAGTAATTTTTTTGTTCTATTTTTAATATTTTACAACCTCTTACTTGAACTCTGAAAAAAAAAAAAGAGACGAAACTTCTGAGTTTTAGGTATGTGCTTTTGGAATGCGAATTTCGGGAGGCGTGCCAAATGCGAGGCGACGCCGTAAGGACCGCACCCTGCACATGTACTTTCTGTGAGCACCTGTTTACAGGTTTTGGGAGGCTAGAAAATTGGGGTTTATAACGTTTTTTTTTTTTTGTAATTTTAATCTTGATTGTATGCCTGTGATAATCTAAAACTTTTAACATGTTTGGTAAACAAAGTTTGAAAGCCAGGTGATCATCAAAAAGACAGCCAGCGCGACTGAAACCGGCCAATAGACCGATCACACCAGCCAGTTTGACTATGCCACCACAGCCGCAATGCATCGAGGGGACTTCAGTATTACTGCACGTGCGACAACCTCGATGCTGCTCTGCACGTGGGGAGCACGAGGCAGCACGAGCTCTTTCGTGCACTGCCGTTTGTTTCCTGTGTACTAAAGTTATGGCCGCGTCAGGCGTGCGTCGAACGCTTTGTGATATCGGTGTATTCTTGATCGGCACTCTTTGGGGCGAAAAAAAAAAAAGCGAATTCCGAGCCGTTTATTGTGCACGGGGTAGGAGGGCTTTTATAGGTCATATTCAAGTAAATACTTGGGTAAGCATAAACACCCTGTAAGTGTCCCGTTAATCTGATAGTTACCGTCGAGATGTTAAGATGATTTACTAAAAGTTATCTGTGCTAAAACATGATCGAAGTTTTCGCAACAACTGTGTCCTAATGGGCTGACCGTAATAAAGAAAATAAGGAAAAACAAAAAAGAAACGAGTAAAATATGAAGCATTTTCACACAGTCCTGCGTGGAAGCATGAAGGTGGTAAAGTATATTTTGCATTCTAACAATGTGGGTCGGTGCCTGACCATTACGTCATCGAACTATGCTCGTGGTCATTCACCTGTTCCCACTAAAGGAAAAAAAAAATGGTGGTGGTAAAAGTATAATGCAGGATGTGCTCGCTAACCATAAAGGCCCCCACAATGGCCGCTGAATCGACGTCAATGGAAGGCATATACCGAGTTATTCACGCCAAACGTGTGGCGACTAACTTGTATTTTGGCTATTGACTTTGATTTGTCGTCCCGGGATTTTAATTATACGGTGTGTTTCATTGATATTCTAACAAATTTATTGAACAAAAAACACGAAAGACACAGCAATGGGGCGCCTGTGCATGTGATTTGCTCGGCAATGGAGACATATTATAGATAAATAATCCACAGTATAAGTCGAATAACCAATCAAAAACGGCAAATGAACTGTAATTATGGTTTAAATAAACATAATGGAAATTAAAATTTACTGAGCGTAATTTTAAACCGCTATATTAGTCAGTCTTGGAACTAACGTGTTACAAGTAACGACGTTACTGGTAACGCGTTAGCTTTTTAGTAACGTACGAACGTAATCCTTAGAACCCCAAATGAGTAACGAGTAAAGTAGTGTCGTCATTATTTTACGGCATCTGCTATCAAATTACGCTACCTGTTACTGTTACTTTTGATTAAAAAGGGCCGCATGATACTTTGAAAGCAAAATAATTTTTATTCTGCGCAGTATATAAAGTGGCAAAGAAACCCCGATAAAGCTATGCATAAACGGCATCATTTCAAAGTCCCTCGGAAGACACTTTCAACGTTCCCACGACCTGGTACAAAGGACACTAGACTAATAATGTGCGCGGTCCGAAAACGCGGGTGATAATCATTTCATCCGCATTTTCGGGTCGCCAACCTTGCGTTTTGCGATGAACAGCTTTTAGTTAGTCTTCAAATTTACCGTGAAGATAAGCCCCCTATATTACGTCCCCCGGATGTTTGACTCGCCTGCGGAAATCGCCTCAGCCTACCTTTCAAGGCTTTTGTTCAAATTTAAAGTAAACAGCCTGTACATTTGATCTTACTTTTAGAGTAGCAAGCTAGAACTTACGTTCATATTGACCTCTTTCTTTCCTTCATAAACTTTACGTTTCCTCTAACCGTACGTTTTATTTACAACTAATGCATTCTTAGCTAGCACTTCCACATTGTACGCATGATGAAAACGCTAAGCCCCATACAGGCCGCCGGCTTGAGCCATGGGGTGGCAGTATTTCTTTCCAAAAGGGCATGCAGTCTGCTCAGGCTCCAAGAGGGTGGACTAGATAACGTGTGGTGCGTGTGCCATACATGGTCTGGCGTGACGCCAGATAATCCGCCATTATGGTGGTCTTGCTGATGAGCGCATACCGATCTGCAGCTTATTTTTTGCGTCATCGAATTGGTTTGTCTCAGCAAGATCGAGAAGGAATTACCGACATCAGAGTAGGATGACGTCACGGTCGAGCCACGAATAGGCGGACGGACGATGCCGAACACAGAAGGATCTCACCACGGTTTGGTTTCCTGTGTGGTTGCCTAATTAGGCCCAAGTTTGGTAATCATAGGGCCTAACTTGGGCAAAATTGGGTTTCGCTCCAAGGCATTACTTATGGCCAAAGTACGCGTCTTTTGGGCATTATATACGCAAAAGAATTGAAGAAAAGAAAGAGAAAAGTGGGTGGAAAGGACAGGACGATGATTTCTGACTGGAATCATTAAGAAGTAAATCACTCTTCAAACGCGTTCGAACGCCGAACGCAGAACGCTGGACCCGGGCGTTTGGCTATCGAACGCGCTGGAAGTGCGAGTAGAGACATGTGCAGCTAGCTTTCCGGCTGTCCACTAATCATTCCAACCAATGGTCGGTGATCGGACTACCACGCTCGCTCTCGTATCCATCTCTCCTCCAGTCTCTTGTGGCACAGATTTTCTCTAGTTCGCCCCATAATTGTCAAAGTGCTAGACTTGAGCGGAAGATGCCACGTATCGACCGAACGACCGGCAGTGAAGCCGAATTCTGACACTTGCATGGAAATATAGGCACAAATATGACAGGTGAAAGACAGACTGCCGGGCAATGAAGCCTTACTTTGGCACACGTTCGGCTATTCAGGGCCGCGATACCCAGAGTCAGGCGAAAGATGGTCAAGTGTTACTTTACCTTGACATTTCGGCTTATGAAAGCCCTAAATTTCTAGACAAGATGGTCCACAGAACCGTGATAGCTGTGTATTAATTAATCACACACGCTTTACCATCATAATGCCGGATCTAAGCTAAAGCTAGGGAAAGATGAAGCAGTCTGTCTCTGCATTTCCAGCGTTTTCAGTGTAGTGCCAGGCAAGGTTTTTAAAGACAAATGAAGAATTAACCTTTTGTTCTTGCTGATTGGCTCTTTATAGTTACGAATGATAAACTACCAATGAGTTTGTCATAATTTACTGGCCTCTGCCCACGTCTCGGTTACAGGGCAAAAAACAGATACAAAAATCTCACCTCATGTCGAAGCACTAGGTTGCAACCTTGTTCGAAGTGCAAACGTTGTTTTCTTCGCCGTCGATTGTTGTAACTTCTGTTCCTGGTAAACTGTGAGCTTCCTCTTTTTTTTCCGTAAATGTAAAAGTTGCGGGTGCGAAAGCTCGCATTGTAGACTGGCCACACAAGCCAGCTTGGCTACTCCGCC